TTAATATGGGCAACACCTACTTTGTATATCAAAAAAATAGTCTTCTCGACTTTTGTATACTCAGTTGTATTAACATAATTTTATCGTTCCTCTTTTCATTCCCTAATTCTATCATAAAATCACTCATATACATTCTTTGAATTTCAAAATTTACTCTCTCCCTGCTTATCGTGATTTCACTATTGTGGGTACCCGTCCAAATTTTCGAAGGATTGAACATAAGATTTCGCCTGTACCGTCAACAAGAATGTATTCGTATAATTGAAGGAGAAAACAAGAAGTAGTTCTCTAGATCTCAGCAAATCTAAAGAACCATATGTATTCGTATAAATCCTCAATCTATATAACAATTTGTATATTTATTAGTTATAATTTATACACATACAAAAATTTGAATTAATTCCATAAATACGTAACTATATTGAGGTGTATTTATATTTAAGTCAATATTCATATACATATACATCTATGATTATATACAAATACAAATAGTTCTATATTTTATACAAATATTTTTATATTTATACATATGCATATGCATATACTTGTATATAGTAATTAATTTGTATAAATATTGGTGTTAGTATTGTGTATAACTCATTTTGGACAAAACATTCTATTAAAAACAATAAGCGTGAATTATGAGATTCTGTAAATTTTTTGTTATCGTATCTAACGTTTATGTATCCATTTATTAAAAATAAATATAGATTTAATAAATAGAAACAAAAACATATAAATTTAAAACTCCATAGCAAACTAAATTATAGTCATAAAGGCGTAATTAGATAAACTATAGATACGAAGCATTATTTACTTAAATCTATTTGCTATAACGAATGACTAATGATGTGTAAATACACGTAACTGATTTAATAAAGATGATGCAGAATTCTTATGCACTTACATAATGAATGTATTGGAATTATTTTTGTAATAAAAAATCATTCATTCAACTTTACTATGAAATAGTATAATTATGGTAGCTAATATTTTTTTTAATAAAAAAGTCAGATTACCTAACTGCCACAAAAATCACTAGGCCAAAAAAAATAAAAAAATTAAGTGGATATGGATTGACAACGAACATAATATTTCTCTTTGATACTTAGGCAAAATCACAAAACTTTTTATAATATTTTTTTTATACTTTTTATATGAATATTAAATTTAGTTAAGTTATAACTTTCTTGTTATGAAGAATAACGTTCCAACTTTTTTTCGATGTAAACCCTTTTTCAAAGGATTTATCATAATCTGATTAATAAAAGTTTAATATTCTTAATTATTTGAGGTTAATTTAGTAAATTAGACAAAAAAAAAAGTGCCTATAAAATTTTAATATTGTTAGGATAAAAATATTATTATATAAACTATCGTACAAGTCAAATGACCTTAAACTCACAATGATGAAAATCAAGCGTGAATATGGGATAGAAGGAATAATTCAATACAACCATGGAAAAACTATTTTTAGTCTATTCTCACGGACTTAGACTCAAATTAAGTATTGTGAGACTTGAAAACTTATTCATAATTTTTTTACGATGTTATAAGTTTAAGTAAGCTTTTTTTCATGAGTTTCTAAGAACTTTTATGTTGCTTGTAAGATTACTTATTTTTGCTTGATGCCATTAAAAATAAATAGAAGATTTTGAGGACATTACATGCAAATCTATGAAATTCTTAAAAATTTCAAAAAAATTACCTTATATTTCTAAAATATTTCACCAAGGATTATTGTTATTTCAATGTAAGCACCACATAAATAACTTTATACCACACGCACGGATGACTCGACAGTTTTTTAAAAAAAAGAGGCATGTGTCTTAGGCCCTTAAATTTAAGGGATCTCATTTTGAAAAATAATAGGTTATAAGTTATTATTTTTTAACAAATATTGAATACTATTTGTAGAAAAAGTAAAATTTTCATGAAAAATGAAGGAAAAACTAGAAAAAATTGACATATTTGGAGTACTATATTTCATGAAAAATAATTTAAAATAAGAATAGTTATATTATCAACTGAAAACTAGAAGAAATCAATTATATTAAAGTGATTAACAATTCAAATATAAAACCCCATTTAATTTTTATTTTAAATCACTAATATACTTAAGTCGCTCCTGATCACACGACACTTAAATGGCATAATAACATGACGGATCATCACACTATGCTATGAAACTTGGACAAGGTATGCAACAATAAGAGAAAGGGCAACTTTCACATATAGCAAACAAAAAATTCATATTTGTATGCTATAACAAAGTTTGCATAATTGCGCTCCATAGCAAACATAAAACTGTATAATTCGCTACACATATACAATCGTATAATTCGCTAGCCTATTTCGCTGCAATTGTATAATTCGCTATCCTATTTCACTGCAATTGTATAATGCAAATTGTATAATTCACTGCCTATTTCGCTGCAATATTTTTATAAAATTTGTTTTGCATACAATTGAAAAATTAAAATGTATGTATATTGCATAATTATAAGTATATAACAAGATATGTTTTT